CTCTCACCCTCCCCTTCTTCTCCAAATACTCCCTCCTGCTAACCCCCCTCGCATCCGCCCCATCAATCGTAGTAACCGCATAACAATGCACCGTCTGTCCACTCGCACCGAGATCCCTCGCAGGAACATCACACCACCACCAATGCTCATTACTCTCAAAAGCGACAAAATCCTCCTTCCTCCCATCCCGACCGCAAATCTTGAGAACGAAGGGGTACGGTTTCCCCGTTCCGTTCTTTTCGTGATCCCAGTGTTCGCACATCTTGGAGAACTGGAAGCGGATTGTCTCAGTGGAGGAGATGGAGATGTGTTTGGAGGCGGGGGAGAAGGAGGTTGGTGAGAGGCCGTGGGATTCGGTCGAGGTGAAGAGTTGGACGGGTTCGGAGCCTGTGGGTCCTCGCATGTACCATTCCCAGGAGGGAGTTGAGCCATCACTGCGGAAGAAATGTCGTTTATTCTCGGGGAAATGTTTGAGTCCAAATTCGTCGTTGGACATGGTAAAGTAGGAGGGTGTGAAAACCTTGTTGAAAACTTGATTGTTGACGTTCCCAGCGCCCCAACATGGGTCGATGAGTTTCCATTCTCCATCATCGATGCGAACAGCAATCCATGCGTGCCCGTCGGGTTTGCATGGGGGAATTGTATCTTGTGGACCCAGTGGTGAGTGGCCTGTAATATAATGTTAGTTTCTATCTATCAGGTAGTGGCAAGTCAGATCTGCAATGTAAATACATACCATAACCCTTCCCATGACCCATAACCATCACAGCCTCCAAACCAGCTTTCAAAGCAATAGCCACGTAAACACCAGCATACCCACCACAAACCGCCAACCCAGAAGATATATTATCTCTCGGCTCCACATGCTTGACACTGTTTCCAAAGAAGGAAACAGTATCATAAGCAATATTATGATGAAGCCAAGTGAAAATAGCCCTCGCTTTATCAGTATGAGACCTAAAAGGACCACAAAGTACTTGTGCCAAATAAGACACAGAGTCTTGATTTCGAGGCAGAGACTGGCGAGGATATTGAGCCACAACACTATCAGGACCTGAAAAATCCCTACATAAAAGACATCCCGAAACCTGGGGTTCAGCGGGAGCAGGACGGCTCTGAATGGCTTTGATATCATTCCTCGTCGGTTTCGACTTGAGATTGATAGGCGGAGGAACGCCAGAAGCTTGCGATGTGGACGTCGAATCCGCAACATGAATCCCGCTCTTCTCTTCAAGCCATTGCGTCAATCCTTCCAACGAAAGCATGAATGGACATTTCTCCGGGGTCTTGCTATACCCATCGAAATAAAGTAGCTCAGGCCAACCTGCCAGCTCAAACCGGGCCATAAAAGATCGATACTTCCCGGTATCCAATTTCGCAATGGTTAACCGATCAGAAGCAAACGCAAACTTCTCACCGAGTTCTTTCCATATTGGTTCCAGTTGATCACAGTATTTACAAAAGGTGGCATACATGTCGATGAATACTGGTTTCCCAGCCATGATTACACTATCAAAGCCTCGTTCATCAAGTTCTACTACTGGAGGTCCCGCTGATCGGTTATGCTGAGATGCAGGTCTCGGAGCTGGGTTTGATGCCGACTTTTGACCAAATCCCATGGTTAAAGCAGACCGCGCGGGTGCCGGGGAGGGAGGGGGTCGTCTACGCTGTTGCTGATGAGGAGAAGAATCTCTGGAAACGGGCCTTGGGGGCATCTTTGGTGGTCCCGTTGGTCTGGGTGGCATTTTGGGTGCTTGGTCACGGTCGACGGGTGGAGGTCCTCGCAAAGGTACATTTGGTGAGGATTTCACAGTTTTCATAGGCACTTTCGTACGAGCATCCACCTCAGCTTTCCGTAGGGTTTGCTCATGACGAGAGGGTGGCAATGGCGGCAGTTTCGCCTGGTCCAAAGGAGGGGGCAATTTCCTGTGTGAATCCGTAGAGGTAATACTCGGGCCTAACGACAACCCTGATATCGAGGAACTGAACGACTTCATGGACGCATTCGAGCCCCTCCTAACCAACTGTGTAGACCCATTCCGTGCCGGAAGCGCAGGCGAAGTTTCCTTCCGAGTCGGCAACGGCGGGGGTCCTCGTCTAGCCGGTAAAGGGGGAGTTTTGGCACTGGTTACGCGCACTTTTGGATTATCTTGCGCCACAGGCGGAGGCAAGAGTCCACCTCCCCCCATTGAGCCGTTTGGCAAGTTATTAGGCGCTTTCGTAACGGAGGAACCGTAAGAGGCGATTGGAGGATTATTCGTCGTCTGCGGTCTGGAGGGAAGGGGAGGTCTAGCTGGCGGTGGTGGAGGGGGAGGTCGTTTTCCTGCTGAGGGTTGAGGACCACCTATACTCTTTGCGACACCCTGCTTGTTCAATGCTGCTATGCGCGCTGAGAGCGAGGTGAACTGGGGTTCTTCGACGTCGGCCATGATTTATAGAGAGGGTGTTCGAGTCGTAAGCCTCACGAGGCAGAGGGGGGGAATAATGCGACGGGTTGGACTCGATCGTGATTCGCAGTGGTTGACAACGATGCGATGGCAGAATCCGACGCTGCAAAAACGAGTGAATAATATAAAACAAGAAAAGAAGGAAAGAATTCAGAAGCCAATGGACACGATCATGATGTACAAGATGTTGGTCCTGGGCAATGATGATATGGCGCGAAGGAAGTGGCGGGGCATGAGGTTATTGGGACATCATTCAATGATGTTGAAGTGAGAAGAGGCTGTGCTATGCAGTTGGAAAACCCGCGCCGCAACCGTACTGTAGCTACAGTACTTCTCTCCCACATAATTTAGGCAGAACACCCCACCAAAGAAAATCAATTCCAGGCTAGAAATCAAATACTCGAACTTGCTTCCCAAACTTGTATTTTTGAAATTGTATCACCAAACATATTCTACCTCTCAAGAGTTGGGGTGCCTGAATCTTTATGAGTACAGTATGGACCGGGGCACTTCAGCCCCAATCACATCCTCACAACCACAAGCCTCACAACCCCTTCCACAAAAACCCAACATCGGCAAAATCCAGAACCTCTTCTCAGAAACCTAATTCATGCCGGTATTTACACTTTACTGTACGGCCGCACCCGGAGAAATGAACCAATTACAATTCCACTTCCACAAAGCTAGCTCTATTACTATAATACATCATCAACGCCTTCATAAAAACCACCAATGCAAAATCCACTCACTCACTCAATCACCCACTCATAAAGCAACAATACAAACCACAACAACACCACAACCCTCTCTTCAATCCCCCCCCCATCTCTTCCTTCCAATACCACTCACCTTACCCCAAAAGCCGTCACCCCGCCTCCTCTCCCCTCGCCCCTCCATCCCCCTCCTCGCCCAATTCCAATTCCAATCCCAACCTGCCAACGCATCACCCATCTANTACCCCAAAAGCCGTCACCCCGCCTCCTCTCCCCTCGCCCCTCCATCCCCCTCCTCGCCCAATTCCAATTCCAATCCCAACCTGCCAACGCATCACCCATCTATCCATCCATCCACGACCTACAGTACCTGCACAACACAACACAACATCCAGACCGCCTCAATCCCCTCAATCCCCTCCTCCTCCATCCCCTCTCCTCATCCCAATCAACCACACAACCCCTTCACCCCCATCCCATCCAATAACCCCCAATCCCCCAATTCCCCCAGCAGCCCGGTATCCACCCCAAGAACCGATCCATCCAAACCCGCCGATCACGAAACCTAAAAACTTTTGTTGCACTTCGCCCTCGGTACGCACGCGAGGGGACTCATCCCATAACAAGCAAAATCGGCTCCATAATTACATCCGTACCAAGGTACCAAGGTAAGCCAAAAAACTCGGTTCCATAAAAAACCCCATGGGCCATCGCGCGATGCGCTTCTACTTCGAAGTAAGCGAAGGGTTACGATGTGAGACAAGACACACGAGCGTCTAGGCTCGCTAAGCTGGCTCTGTCTCGGGAGTCCTGGTGGGATTCCATCCATGCTTCAGATCTACGGTACAAAGAAAGCGCCCCGATTGGTTACAGAAAGCTCGGGTCGTTGCTCTATAACCGTACCCGACACACCTCTCTAGAAGAAAAGTAGTTTATTCTAAAAGCGTCGACGTCGAAGAACAAAAACAATTCTGCAAAGAGCTTAAGATAATTATAATCACTTCCTATCGAGTACCCTAGGTATCCAATACAATCATCCCCCTTGTCCTAGAAGATTAGTAGAAGAACATTTTTTTTTAGAGTACAGAGTAACGACCAGGTACCTTACAATACGACAACACGTAAGTTTTCTAACATCATTTCATTCTCATCCTCATCCCGACTACAGCAAGGAAAAGACTATGTAATTATAAAGGTCGTCCGTTCCATTTTTGTACGTGCCTTGATTCGCTAGGAAAGAGCAGGGAAAAAACCAAGTGAAAAGAAAAGAATCGTCATATCCTTCCCTACCACTGGATCAACCCAACTCTCCCATTTACCTACCTACTATGCCATAGATAGTTCTGTCCATCCCCTGCAATCTCGCACTCCAGGTATCAACAATCAATTCCATTCCTTCGCTTGCGCCTTCGCTCATAGTAACAAGAAAAGAACTCCATGCAGCATCCATCTGTCCGTGCAAATCCCATGTTTTCCCCGCAAAAAAAAAACAACAACACCGTAACCCCCGGTTTCCAGAACCGAATGAGCAAATAACCTCACCAAAGACGCCCACCAACAACATCCTTCTCAAAGATTCGCACGTCCGGCACATCACAGAAACGAACTCCGTCAATTGTTTCAACTCTCAATCCCAGCTTCCCAACAATTGGTCCAGCGTTGGCGTCTTCTTCTTCATCAGAGCTCAATTGCCAGTCATCATTACCTGGCATGTTGATACCAGATTGACCACCATTGTTAATGGCCCCGCCATCCGGCCAAGTGCCGCTTGGCCCTAGTATCATTTCCGCCAGGGCTTTCGCGTTATCCGAAGATTTTGCCTTGCCTTTACCCTTCTTATCAAATATCTTCTTCAATGGCTTTTCTTTGGACCGACGAACGAGGCGCTCCACATTCTGGTCCAGAGCAAGGTACTCAAGCTTCATTTGGGGATTCTGTGATACTGTATCGATGAGGAACTTGCCAAAGTTGTTTCGAACCCATTGGCATTGATCCTCTTGACGGAAGTAATTCGTGTGAAGAGCGCGGAGCGAAGTCAGCCCTGAAATGAATTGAAGAAGCGTATGCTGCAAAGTGTTAGTATGCAGTCCAGGATAGGAGATTTCTCATACACACCACTACTTTAAGTCCAAAGGTCACTGATAACTCCTCCAACTCCGTTGCCTGCTGGCACAACATCATCGTCGCCTTGACGTTCAAATCCCAGTCTGCGCTGGAGTCATGCCTAATCATCAGCACCTTCAACGAGCCAACGTGCTTCCGGAGAGCTTTTCGGATATGTTCAATGGAGACCGTTGTCTTGGCTGCTGTGGTCTCCACTCTTCCCTTCTGTTTCTCCAGCAATAACAACTCGGTCACCCTGTCTAGCTGGTGGATAAAACCCAAGAATGGCAAAGTGACATTGTCAGTGTAGATCTTGTTCAGAGGCAGTGGAGAGATTGCATTTTCTTTGGCAAGAAGATTCCAGAACGAAACCTGCGGGCCAACGTTCAAAAGGGTGATGTTCTGCAAAACATTCAGATCAACTCCCCGAGATAGTATTTGTGCCTTGATAGGAATAAGGTAAATAGCAAGAGTGGTCAGACCGAGGCCTCTGGTGTTGCGTACGTATTCGCTCATTTTTCCAGATGATTTTGAGCCAATCTCAGAACGTGCCTCGGACTCGGTTTCCTCTACTTGCATGCTGAGCTCTTCTATACTGCGCGTCAAGTCCATTACACGGTCGGAAACCTTTCTGAACCTGGCTTCGCTTTGGGCAAGTATCTGATAATCGACGCTTGTAGGCTCAATATTCTTCATCTTCTCTCTTAGCTCCTCCATCTGACTCTTCAGTAACGTAGCTTCCTCTTTGATTTTGGTATGACTGGAACGGAGACTGGCAGACTGCTCAAGCAGATTTACAGATTGCGCAAGGAGAACTTGCCGAGGCTTCAAGCCACCTTCTTTATTGTCAGTAGGTTCATTTTGTTTTGCTTCGATTTCCAGGGGCTTTTCTTCTTTCACATCACCCAATTCTACTGGTTCACTGAATTCTGCTGGTTCGACAGAAGTCTCAGTTGAATCCTCGCCATCTTCATTATCGCCTGCCATGGAACCAATCTCAGCTGCAAGGTCGTCTGCTTCGGGCGCTTCGATATCAATGTCATCGGGATTTGAAACTCCTGGATCAGCGTTGATTGTTTTTTGCTCCTTAGCTGGCTCATCAAACAGACCGGGGCCATCTGCAGAAGTTCCTCCGCTCATAAGCGCATGTTCGCCATCGATGCTTGCTGTAGAAGTAGCAGGTGTTGGCTTTGGGCTACTGCCATCACTAACTGGTTGAGCTGTCTTACCCATATTTTCCATGTATACCTGTGCTGCTTGCTCAATCATTTTAAGAACAGCCTTTGATTCAGACTTCATATCGCTGCCAGCCTCAACGTGAGTCATCAGCTTCTTTGCAATAGGTGCGAGGTTTTCGATGAACTTTTCTTGTGGGTCCTTGATAATCTTGGGTTCTGCCTTAGAGGACTCTGCCTTGACTATCGTGGGAACTGGCTTTGACCGCTTGGCGGTGGCAATCCCAAAGATCTTTTGCAGCACATCCTCTTGCTTTTTTTTCTCTTCCTGCGCCTTCGTAATCTTAGACTGGCCATCGGCAGAACTTGACTGCATTGCTGGATTCGCTGGTCCTAGAGGGATGATCTGTCCGAATTCATCTTCTGCCTCTGAGTCGTCATCAGAATGAACTTCTTGTACAGGTGGTCTTCGTGATTTTTTGGCCAACGTCTCGGAAAATGATAACGCCAGGGTCTCAAGGGTTGATGAAGAGTTACGGATGCATGCTCGGAGTTCACCAACATAATCGAGCGTATCCATGTCCAAAATCTCCAAAGATTTCAAATTTTTGAAGCCGGACAATGTTGGTGGTGATTTCTTCAAAGCGGGTAGCAAGGCTTTCGTGGTTTTGCTGTGCGACTTTGATGCATGCTTGTTCCCCAGCGCAAAAGAGTTGGAGCTACTAGATGGATAATGAATGCTTGATGCGCCGGGGTGGCTATGTGAAGGGGGACCAAACCCGGGTGGACCCAAGGGAGGAGGTGGTGGAAGGTGTACTGGAGCAGGATTGCTGGTAATCTGCCCAACGCTTGAGGCTGATATCGCTGGGGGACCTTGATATGTAGAGTGACCAGGTTGCATACGAATACGGAGATGCTGCAGGGAGCGAATTTGATGCAGTGCCTTGAAAACCGGCCGAGTTAATTCAATTCGAATATCCCATCTGTATATCATGTCAGAGCTTGAAATAATACACTCTTCATTACGGCATACTCACGAGAAGGTTTCCAAAGACCGGGCTTTGCGCAGCATCATGAGGAAAAGGGTATTCATAAATCTTCCCGAACTCGACTCGTTCATATAAAATCGGTATGCACGCTCGCCCTTTTCTCCTCCCGACAAGGGCTCAAGAATGATCTCTCTCAAGTATTGCGCATAATCATATTCGCTCGAGACAAAGGTCTCCAGGCCCGAAGCCAGCACATCGAAGGAGGAATCAGTGGTGGTATCGTCCTCATCCGGGAACACGATGTTGAAGCTCCGATAAAGCTCCTCCGCAGCAAGATCTCGGAAGTGTTTGGAAACCAGAGACAGCGCAATGAGATCGGTGGTATCAGCCTGGCAGATAAAGTGTCAGTTCTCAAGCTCCCAATATTTGCCCCACTCCCAAGGTTCAGCCTCGAGGTCGAAGCTTCCAAATCGGACGAATTGACTTACATGTTGGATGATCTCCTTCTGCGTCTCGGGTGGCAGATCCAGTATCGTGAGTTTCTTCATGGTGGGTTCGGTGGGGGAGGTCTGAGTCGGCTTGGTTGATGGAGCTATCGCAGGTGGAGCTGGCGCTGGAGCCTTGGATGCTGGTACTGGGGTAGAGCTTTGCTTGTTGTTTGTTGTTGTAATTGGCTCAAGGCCCATCATTCGCATCGCACGACGCCAAATGTCATCTGGGTGTACTTTCTTGACTGGTATGACGCCTCGCCTTCGATTTGATCGGGGCAGAGCAGGCATGGTGAAAAGAAAGCAGAGGGAGGAGAACGTAAGGCGTCGAGACTCAATCAGAGAATTGGTGGGTATGTCCTAGGCGGGTGAGTGCACTGCCTGGACCACGGCCGCATGGGGTGGGGGGGTTGAATCGATTCCTTGGCGCGTGGGGGAAAGACCCTTGCAAGCTCTTGTTTTGACCTTCAACTCTTGACGACCCGCTTGATAAAGAGACGCTTAATGGCCTCCCAACATTTTTGTTCTGACGATCTTGATAGAATATACTTTGATGTTATCCTCAATATAGAGAGAGTGTGTGGGGGGGAGGAGAGGTGTTAACAGATGGATGGATAGGTCTTCTCCCTCCTCTTCGTTCCGTTTGCTAAATCGCGTGTTCATCTCACGACGAAATTGGGTTTGGTGAAGGAGAAGACGGATGATAAGTACTATATTGCTAAACAGGAGGATTTGTATCAGTTTAATGAGGTTTTCAAGTTCTTTTGGCCTGGGGGTGATTGGACGATGAGGGGGTGGCAGGTTGTTACTACGGTTGTTTGTGTGCATGAATACCCGCAAGGTTTCCGGCTCTATTTTCCTTATTATCACACTACAACCTTTTGCCCTCAAAATAGAGGTGTAATGAAATATTAATTTATTGTTCATTCGTGAACCATTACACGTTACACATAAATGAGGCTTATTCTTGGTTTTTCTTTTGTATTTGCTGGCTAGCTTCAAGTGCTTATAATTCGCTTATATATAGAGAAGTGGAAAGCGAAGTATAAGCACCCTCGGCCTCGCATTCTATTTAGGAGTAGTAAAACTATATAAAAAATAAGTATATAGCTTATGAATAAGTACATAGCCTATAAAAGAATGAATACGAAGTTCTCATAAAGAAGGTACACGCTAAGTGCTCGGTCTTCGACTATATTATAAACTAATTTATCTAGTATAATATAAAGTATAGAGTAGGAATTAACAAAAGAGCATCGAAAAGAGAGCCCACAATAGTATAGCTAACAATATGTGGGATATTATAGTGCTAATAAAGGAATATAATATTCTAATAGTAGGGTAGAATATATCTCCCACCATAGCTTACTAAGCAGCCCTGTCCTCATTTACTATAAATCCTGCTAGAGAACTAGTCGTTACTCTATATATAGTATAAAAAGTGTTATTCTACTAAACTTCTAGTACAAGTAGGATAATTATATTAGTATACCTAGGCGACTTACAAGTAAGTAATAACAATTATCTAAGCTCTTTATATGACTGTTAAAATTGTACGGCGCTTTTAGAACAATTTTATTCTAACAGAGGTATATACAGAGCAACGACCACGTCTCTTACAAATAGATTTGGAGCTTACCCTCTTGTTTAGGATTCGAGGCGAAAAAGGTCTTTGATTCTTTGAAGCTAACATAACACAACAATGGGCATGAAGACGAAGAAAAGTTCCTGGATTTATCGAAACGAGTTTTAAAACACTACTAGCCTTTTCGATGCCAGTCCAAGTCCAGCCATACCTCATATAGTCAACTAGTACTTTAACTCGACCGGACCAGCAGCATGCCCTATAGACTTCAAGAGCTCTTTCTGCTGCTTCACGTTATCTCCACGATCCAGTCTCATGATAGACTCTCGAATGCACTGAATCGCGAACCAATCGCATTCAGACTTGAGAACCGAACCTGGGCAATATAAAATCGATATCTTTGTGGATAGTATAGCAGTATTCTTTGCTCATCATATCGCTCACCTCCTCAAATTTTGCCGTCGCTCCCACGTCGAGATCTCTGATGGTTTCCAGAGCAGCGAAGATACGATCCCAATCCCCCTTGTCCGTGTTGTGTTTTTGGGTTTTGGCATAGTGAAGATTCTGGTATTTCCGACGATGCATTAATGGATGACCAAGCCACTCAGAGTCTGAAGCTGTGGTTGAATCATCAGTACTCTTAGACTCACGCAGGACTAGAGGCAAATTTTCCTGTTCGAGAAAGATTTTGTAGTGCCCGTCGCAAAGGTGAAGGTGCGGTGGCACGCGAATGAGAAACTCAAGCTTGCGCACTTTATTGGTGCTTTTCAGTGCTTCGATTACATTGCTAGCAACTTCCAATCTACCAAAGCTATTTTCATGGCCGAACCAGTCTGATTCATCTAGCCAGGAAACAGTAATTTTCTCCATGAGCAGTTTTGTCGGGCTTGCTTTGAAGTTGGAAAGGAATTGCGGTGCTTGATTGAAAGATTAGCAGGCGCAACTTGATTTTATGTCAGATGCGTGAATGGAATTTACATACAGAAGTAACAGGTCAGTTCAGGGGGGACAAAAAGAAATTCATTTCTGGTGGATGTATCAAAGAAGAGTTCGTTCTTCTGGAAGAATATAACGTTGGCTTCGTTTCGAAGTTGGGTACATGTTCTTGAGATGTTGGTGAAATTTGGAGTTGTGGTATTGTTTTCCGATCTATTGGCATGATTCGGCTGGATAGGATATTCGCTGACCAGGAGAAGTTCGAGGATCATTCGTCGAGCATCTAAATAGATGCCAAGAAGAGTTGGTTCCATTGTGCCTTGTGCGCAGCGGTCGTCGGGTGGGCCCTTGCGAAAGATTGGTTCATCTGGGGGATGGGAAGGAAGACGATTTGCAGGATAGTATTGGATGTTGTGGCATGCGGCATGCAATGGTCCATACGCAGAGGAAGGCCACTCTTGGGTGGAAAAGTCCTAAAGTGCCAGCCTTATGTACATATCTCCACGCGATCAACTAGCGCCTGATCTAGCCACTTTAGGACTAGTGAGCTCATTTTCAAATTGCTTTTCAAAAATGGATATTGGTAGATGTAGAGATATCACGTTGATGATACTGATCCTGTTGACAGCTAATATGTATACTACTCCTCCTTTATGTAAACTTGCATATACTGAATGAGCTATAAGAAGACTTTTAAACATTCGATTACCAGATCTTGGAGTGGAATAATTGGGCAAGATTAAAAACTAATTACGAATAACCTGAGCATACGAAGACCAGGTACTGGGCTGTTTCTATACCACAGCCAGGTTTCTTCCCAGTTTCCCGCAAACTGAGGTATTTCTAGGTCCTAATGCAAATAATCTAAGTGAAACAGGGTTTCCTTTGACATTGTCTGTAATCAGTATTGATTTTTATCCTTGTCAGTTTCTAGAGTCTGTATGTGGACATCTATTTTGTATGAATCGGTTATCAAATCCACCTCACAATATAAGGAAGCATTGCTACCTTCAAGTCTCAATATCTCATAATTCTTTAGCAAGAAGGAGCAAGTATTACTTGTACAAGCTGTAATAATTATCCTTTTTTGTTGATATGATTCAAGTTATGTTATTTGCTATTGTGTCGACACCACACCAACCAGTGTTAACGTGAATAAATGTACGCTCTTCCTCACCATTGGCAAACATGATATGCTATTTGATTGCACAGTAATTGATATGACAACCTTACCTAGGTCGGTTGAAATCATAATGATTCACTCATGGTCACGTTGCCATGGAGGAGTTCTGGCCCAAAAACAGCACCACCACCTTTCACATCCACCCCTGACGACATCCCAATACAACACAACCAACCCACACACTCCACAAGAAAGACATACCACCTCAAAGATGTTTTACGCGCTTTATCTGGAATGCTGCGCAACAGGCCCAAACTCGCCACTCAAAATCACCAACGAGCCTGGCCTTCCTCTCCACAAAGCTGCTCTGCCTCAACCTACCACCTTCCCTCTTGACAACACTCGCTATGTCAGAATGCTGACGGAGCTCATGGAACGTAAGAAGGGATGGTAAGTAGCCCTAGATATCAGCACAGCAGCGATAGCTAAGGATAACACGTTTTAGGAGCCTCTACTGCGTGACTGAAAGGAAGCCTTACTTGAATGTCTGGATTATCAAGGGTGAGGAACCAGAAGTCAAAGCACCAGTACAGCAGCCAGTACAGCAGCCAACGGAGCAGCTAGCACAGCTATTGTATCAACTTATACAACAACAACAAGCCCAACAACCAACCCCACAATCGCCCCAACATCCACCGCAATATCCACGAGAAGATCTGCGAAATCGCCCATCACAATATCACCAACCGCCACATTATGAGCATATTCCGAGGCATGAAGACGCCGAAAGAGGGAGGTACTGAGAGCAGAGGAGTCTGATGTCGACTGGTAGCTAGGTTTTGACTGGGAGTGAGAGTGAAGCAATGAGGACTGGAAGATTTCTGAGCTCAAGGGTAGATATTCGTACGGCGCGATCTAGAGTCAGAGAATGAGAATTAGAAGTTTGCCTCAAGACCTTTGTGACTTGACTTTTGAGTTTCCACACTTTGATACTCAACTCGCTGAATAAGACAGTAATCTTTACGTGTAGAAATGACCCCTCGCTCAATAGGCTGAACTATGTATATCACAACGCAAGGTGGAAAATATCCAAGTTTCTAAACTAAATGGACTTCTGGAATTTCAGAAGGGAAGTGCCTGAATGCCTTTTACTAAAAGATGGCCTCAAAAGCAGCAGATTTCACAGAAATGGCCATTGTGAATTTATCGCTTCCAGAGAATCTGGATAGTTACAACAAATACCTGTGCTTGGAAGTGGATATAAGTGGATACAATTGTAATCTTATTGAGTCAAATTAACGTTAAAATACTTGGAAACGCGGTCTGGTTGGCCAAATGACTTTATTTTGCGGCGAACATGTAGTAAATATGGGCCCATTTACTCCCTCTGGGAAGTCGGGCGCGGACATTGTCTGTCACCATTCCCAGAGGAGCTTCACTTTCAAGCACAGGTGAAGGTAGTAACTGTATTGTCTGGAAGGGATATTCAACATTCGGCAACTGGAATTCCATTCGATTCCAGAGGCCTCCTCTGGGAGGATTTAGTAGAAGAATTCCATGGAATATAGAATTTCCAGCTGGAATTTGTTATATGACCGGAAAATATACTCCCGCTCCATCGACTAACAGGAAGTCTCCAGGGCCCTATATATTTTAAACAATCAGATAACATTTTATATCATGTGAATGTCCCCCTAAATGTCGGTAT